ACACTTTTATTTAGCATTTATAATAAAGGTAATTGTTGATTAAAAAAAGTCGTATTCGTGAAATAAAAATAGCCATCAAACAGCTGATTTATTTTACTTAGATTATACCGTATCAAAGTTATTTTATCGTAGTTATAATTTACAATAGTTATTATAATTTTTTGTCACCTTTTTTATTTTTATTTCTATATAAATGTTTAACTAATGTATAATTGCATTGTTTTTCCAAAAATATTTAACGAAATCTTTATAAAACTTAAGTCTCTCAAAATGTTTATATTTGTGTGTAAAAGTGGTTTTCTTAGAGATATATTGGGACGTATACCAATACCTAATAAAAAATATAAGTGCAAACGTATACATTTTGGTAATATTAACCTACACAATTAATAAGAAAAAAAAAGAAAAATAGATTTGCTAGCCTGTGCCATATTAAAATCAAACAATTACTTATCATTGTACTGAACATTTTATTTCACGAGTAAATATAGTCAAAGTCCATCAAACTTTTTATAGAATAAACCCATACGTCTATATACCTTTCCGAGAAAATCGGAAGGAGTAAAATCCGAGATTTAAAAGAAGGTCTCCGTCTTTTTCGCTCTCACCTTAATAATTTACCTCAAGTCCGTCTCTGCCACCACTTGTCTTAATGAAAACCAGAGCGTTCAGACCACCATCTCAGCTTTAACACACGAACCAAGACATTCTGTTGATATCTTTCGTTTACCAAGAAGTAATTCATATTACAGAGAAATCACTCGCCATTTTAAAACTAAAGTAGTTATTGACTTGAAAGTTACTACAAAGATATCCTAAAACCATGAGGTGGAAATAAGATTTGGTTTGATTCGGTTGACCCATTTTGAAACTGTTAATTTTATTATAGATTTCACAAACAGACGGACGCTTGATGGATCAAAATAGATCCTTTTGGGAGTTTATGATTACTTACGTTTCTTATGGCTCGGGGAACAAATTCCCAACGGCTTAGTATAAGAGTTTCTCTACACCCTGAAGTGTATAGTAAGCTTATTTTGTACGAAAATATCTAAATCAAAATGTTATTGACATAATCTCAAGAATATAAGACAACACAAACAAGCTCAGGCTTTATAGAAATTGTAAGGTTACTCATATCACCCTCCCAATAGGAAACTATTTAAGGTTTAGTGAGATAAGACTACGAAATAGTAATGTCACCAACAATCTTTTTTTGTTTAGTGTAGACGATAAATAACGTAAAAATAATCGATTTTACCACCAGATTCCCACAGTATTTTGAGTTCAACTAATATCAAAACACCTTTCTAAGTTTTCCAAGTAAAATAAACCGTTTCAAAAAAAGTTACAATTTTTTTTTACTTTAGCTGAGGTTTTAGTTCAAAAAAGTAACAGTTTATTTCCTTAAAATGGTATTTTCAAAATTTTACTATCGTATAAGGGTGGGATTTTAAAGGCAATTTCATTAGGGCAAGTGACGGTGTTGTCACGACGGGTGGTGAATTATTTAGCCGAGAAGCCAAAATGGAGGACGACCTCTTACTTTATAATCCTAGTCCTGGATAAAACGCTTTAAACACTTGTTTTATTAATTAACATTATTAAATTAGTAAAATTTGTTTTACAAGTTTATGACATAAGATAAATAGAGATAAGTGTTAAATTATAGGCCTACAAATATCTTTAGAAGATTGTTGAAAGTTAAATTTACTTGTAGTTTAAATTTGGGGGTTATGGGGGTGTAAAAATATGTTGTAGAAAGAATATCCATACCGACGCCTACAGTGTTATTTTAGATGTGTCATTGCTATTGGAGCTTTCAAAGGGGAGTAGGCCTACATCAAAACTAGGATTTTTATTAATTTTTTTCTAAAGTTCTTTTCGTATTGGTTTTCTAAAGTTGGGAATACGACGGACGCTCTTATAAGCAACCCATACATAAGTAAAAGTAATACCATTGGAAATACGGACATCCAGATCTGACGTTCTATGTTCCTACCTCTACACCATGTTCTGGCGTCAGTAAACATTAATAATCTTTTTAAGTCAAAACATGTTCATGTTGTAAACATTATTTCTGTAATGATTACCACTTTACGCTGTCCAATTATTTAAAGCGAAATATATAAAACAGTTTACAACATTTTTTCAGGTTTTAAGACCAGTATCGGAAAACTTTTAAGTAACATTAAAGTAAGAAAACATTTAAGTACCAACGTTAAACAACGTTGTCAACCTACGTAATTAAACTTTACTTTTAGTTGGGATAACCTTTAGGTGTAAAACAGTCGGAATGTTACAACAAAACATTAAGTAATTTAAGAACCTTTTATTACTGCTATGCAAATATATTTAACCATTTAGATCACTTTTATAAGATAAATTGATAGTCACTTTCATGACCCCCTCCTCTTTAAATGTGAAGCAAATCTTTGAGAAAACCCAGGTCGCTTTATTTTCACATCGGTTTATTACCGGAGATACCGGAATGTGATAAGTCATTGGTTTGTCCTGAATTCGGGGTTTTCTCAATTTACTTCGTAGCTTTATCATATTTGCGAGGTCATAGATTCGAAAAAATACTTGAAATTATGTAATGGGTAAATGTTAAGAAATAGGTTCGTTTAAAATGTTTGATATGACCTAGTGAACAACTTAGGCAGCATACGTTTGAACACTGTGAATAAGTGTGTGATCCTTCTGGTCATTATTCTAGTTACGAAATAAATATTTTCAGCATCCAAGTTAGTGTTAACTCTTAAATGAGGTAAAGAAAAATACACGTGACTCTTTTAACAAAAATGACGTCAGAATGAGCAAATAAGGGATGATTCCCTTTGTTCTACGAACAAAAGCTGGCATTTCTCATCCAAAGACAAGGTTTGTGTTCTCGTCTTCGTTTGCGAACTGAATTCTTCGGTAATATTTGTTATGCGATGATTTTGGACTTTATATATTTTTTTTACACACAACCTAGATGTACTTGTAGTTTATATATACTTCTGTTGATATTTAAAATGCTCGCGTGAGGAGATACTAATTATTGGGGTAATTTGTTTGGTGATTTTCAGGTTCAATTCAAGATTTGATGTATTTATTAACACCTTATGGCTCTTATTTGATTTCTAATTGAAATTATTATGAAAACTGTAATAAATATGTATCATAATAATTATATTGATATACAAGCGTGTCATATACAGGGTGATTTTTAAATTAGTTCCCCCCTACTTTTTTCTACATTTCTTAAGATATCAACTCCGGACTACGTCAGATCATTGTAGAGTAGTAAGTACTTCATTTTGACTGGGTATACATTTTTGGCCGCCATCTTGGATCCGCCATATTGGATACAAAGTTTTTTTTCAAATATAAAGGTAGGGTTGTGACCCACTATTCCAAACTAGAATTTTACGCTGATTACAATGCCGCAAATAGTTATTAAAGATCTTGATCCGTTCTAAAGTTATAAGGACTTTTTATAACTTTATTTTTAGCTCATTTTAACATTGTGTTTTTACAAACTAAGACCATAATCTCAAAATAGTGCTGGATAAAGATGTATACACCACCATTAATTGTCGACCTATTTTCACTTGTTTATGACAAATGTATTTTTTTCGGCCGCCATCTTGGATCCGCCATTTTGAAATGTGACAAATTAATTTAAATATGAAGGTGGTTTTGTGACCCACCATTTTGAACTACTTTTCTATGCTGAACTTAATGCCGCAATTAGTTTTTCATTTGCATGTTTGGTTTTTGAATTATTTAAATTTTAAATAAGATAATTTTAATATTTCATCAAGAAAGCTTGATAACCAAAAACGGATTGCGGCATTGAATTCAGCATAAAGAATTAGTTGAAAATGACGGGTCACAACACCACCTTCATATTTAAATGAATTTGTCACATTTCAAAATGGCGGATCCAAGATGGCGGCCGAAAAAAATACATCCGTCATTAACAAGTGAAAATAGGTCGACAGTGAATGGTGGTGTATACTTATCTTTATCTAACACTATTTTGAGATTATGGTCTTAGTTTGTAAATGCACAATGTTAAAATGAGCTAAAAATAAAGTTATAAAAAGTCCTTATAACTTTAGAACGGATCAAGACCTTTAAAAACTATTTGTGGCATTGTAATCAGCGTAAGATTCTAGTTTGGAATAGTGGGTCACAACCCTACCTTTACATTTGAAAAAAAAACTTTGTATCCAATATGGCGGATCCAAGATGGCGGCCAAAAATGTGTACCCAGTCAAAATGAAGTACTTACTACTCTACAATGATCTGACGTGGTACGGAGTTGATATCTTACGAAATGTAGAAAAAAGTAGGGGGGAACTCATTTAAAAATCACCCTGTATAGTTAAAGCCACTAACATGAGCTGTGTAGCCAATTCTATTTTCTACCTATTAATATTGTCAAACAGGGCTTCATAGGCAATCATAACACTTAATTGAAATGTAAGATTTTATTCAACTTATAATACCCATTTCAACAAAAACAATTTTTTCATTAATTATGGGGTACAAAATTACCGTAGGATTTTGTATTTTTTGTTATTAGAAAGGTTGAAAACTCTTAAAGTGAAAGTGTACTGCATGTTGACAAAAGCATAATTTGTATTAAATTTATTAAAATATACGCATGACCATCCAATCTTTTACAAAAGGTAATTACTTCCTCGTTTAGTACATGCAATGATGGGTATACTTGTTAATGACTAATTTCATATATATGTATGACCTTTGATTCATCTTTATATTTGTGCTGTATGATTTGTTTATAAAGATTAATTATCACATGTTTAAATAATGTTAAATAATGAATAAATAAATAGTGATTTAAATGTTGTACTGAAATTGACTATTCTTTTATTTGACTTTGATAATTGACAATTTAATAATACTTTTTTAAAGCAAAAAATTATGTATCAGAATATATAAGTTATGCAGTATTTAATATATATTTTGTAGCTGTAACTTACCTTATTTCATATGAGGTATTTTCTTGTGTTCTGAAACAGAGGTCAAAGAAGTTAGAGCTTTCGAACTTTTCTTAAATGGAATTTTGAGGTTATTTATTTCTAACATTTAAGAAATGTATTTTTTAATATTAGCCATATATCACAAAATGTGAATATTTTACTCTAAGTTTTATTACGTGGATTAATAACTGTGAAAATAATACCTGACATGACCCACCCATGTCAGGAAGCTTAGAGGAATGCTCCCATTATATTATTTGACTTATAAAGCATACATTTTTGAAACACATTTAAGATAAAGAATATCATTATTTATTTACTCTAAAATTTTGCAAAGTTTCAGAAATATTTTACTTTCAAAGAGATATATGACTGAAGCTCTTTTTGAATGTGAATGTTTAATGCTGTAGCTCGTGTAGAAAATATTCTTTATATTTTATTCATAAAGTGATTTATTATTAATACTAAGCTTTTCACTGGATAGTATAAACAATTTTTTGGTTAAAAAATGCAGACCTCTTAAAGTCCTAAGATTTTTATTTACAAACTTGTTTATACAAAATTGTATAAATTAATAAACTCTCAAAACAGTTTCAAAATAAATCAAACCTTATCTTACAATTGTCATTTCATTTCTAAATCTCTCATTGCAGAATATCATCTTTGTATCTTTGTAACCTTAATAAGATTGGTAAAGCAAATTATCCCTGACTTATTTTACGATTCAATTTATTTATCAGTGGAGGCCTAGGTTTTTACGTCGAAACGTTATCGTCAGTCCTTTGTCTCATAGGTTAGCTATACTTTTAATAAAATGGTTTAAATACCTGCATAAAAGTTATCCAAAATGTTGCTCACGGCAACCGGTTTCAATCCACAATAGGGATCTTCATCAGGCCGATCAGGATGTCTAGGATTTGTCTAGGATTTGTCTAGGATTCCTGTCTAGGATCAGGATGTCAGGATCTTCATCAGGCCTGATGAAGATCCTTATTGTGGATTGAAACCGGTTGCCGTGAGCAACATTTTGGATAACTTTTATGCAGGTATTTAAACCACTTTATTGAAATATTGGTTATCCGGAGGCTAAGTCATAATGAAATCTAAACTTTTAGTTTCCAATCTCTTGTTTAGGTTTTTGTCGATTTTGTATAGTTTGTGCAAACATTGAACACATATAAATATTAAGATGATAACGTTTCGACGTAGAACCCTAGATCTCCACTATTAAATAAATTGGATCGTAAGGTAAGCCTTAGATTTTAACTATGTCCAATAACGATCCACAGGTAATATATCAGAATAAAGCTAATAAGTTGTTAAAAAGAATAAATAAAGTGTGTCTATTCTATTTATTACATAATTTCTTATATATTACTTTATTAAACGCTATCGCTGCCCTAAAAAAAGTCATAATACGTTGGGACTTTAAATTCGATAATTTAAAATTTTTACTAAATTTTGAAACGGGTATTGCCCATTTACAACAATTGTTTTTTACTATACCTACCGATTTAATTCTACCACACCAACTGCTATAGTCAACTTGACGTTTTGTGGGATTGGATTCACTCAGTGGATATATTGAGCCGAAGTTGGAAGTAAACTTGTTGATTTGTGGTCAGATGACTTCCAAACGACTCCTGATCAATACTCATGACTCTTCCGTTCAACCCATTGCTGGTTATTAATTGATTTTCAACTGCTTTACTAACTCTACAGCAAATTTAAAAAATTAGTGAAAACAGACTTTACTAAACTAATCCTAAATACATTGTAAAAATGCTATTAAAATTAATTCCATGAGTGTATTTTTCAAAATGGTATAATATGAAAATTCAGTTAAATCATCAGCAAGAATATTGCTATCAAAATACGTTCTCATTCAGTGTCGTGTTATATCGAAGATAATATGATTTACACGTTCAACGCAAGTTATAAGTTTGGATTGAGGAAATACTTAAAACTCACAATCCGTTGACTTAGGTATGGTGTGTAAAAGAAAATTGGCCAGTCGTATACACTAGAAATAACTTAGGTTCACAAATCCTGTAGGTTATAATAAATAGCTTTTCTATGGCTTTTGGTAGAGTTTTTATTACCTCATTAACAGAATTATAGCATAAGATTGATATCTATCATTCCGCTTACGAAAATATTATACCCTCGTATTGTTGATACTTATAGTGACATTACGCTTTGAAAATCGTTACCAAATGCTGTTCCATGTAGCTTTATCACTTTAAAGTTGTAAAAAGAAGATAAATGCGTTTCCAATATCTCCACCCCGACTAGCAATTGTCGTAACTTTAAACGATCCAGTTAGCTTTATTGATGGTAACAAAACAGCAACCTAGCCAATACCACTACAATATTCTGTAAATTCATTACGTATGATTTTGAAAATATCAAACGAGACACGAAATCCCTTCGAACCTTATTTTTATTCTATGTTTTCTTGTCTCATGTATGTTTTATTTATTGAACTCTGTTGACGACCTTCCAATGAAGTGATCACCTTGACATCTTGAGGCCTGAAGATGGTTCCATGGAACCGAAACTAGTTGCCAGAAAGCAACACAGAATTACTATTTGCAGGTATTGTAAACCATTTAAAGTATATTAAAGTAATCTGGAGGCTAAATAGCTTTTTGAAAATAAATAAACATTTAAACACGACAAAAACAACAAATAGAAAAACATTTATGGTAACTTATCAGAAGTCTGGACTCAAACTCTCTAGCATCGTCTGTTTTCTTAACTGATTATTTACCATAAATGGTTCGTATTTTGTTGTTTTTGTCATGTTAAATAATATGACGCTAACAATTATATCAATTGTATCAAGAATAAAAAACGTCCTTGTATCATCAGGATGATGATTCCATTTAGTAGTTGAAACTAGTTGCGTTTGCAAATAGATTGGATTTCTCTTAGCAGGTATTTGAACAAAATTTTAAAAAGTTTAACCTTATCATGTTCCGATAATATTTTAGTTTTCCTCAAAGTTTCTCGTATATTTTCATATATACAAACTATTTTCATTGCCTTTTAACTTGATGTAAATTAAATATGTACAAATTTTGTTGTGCTGAAAAAAGTAAAACCCGTTGAATAAATATCTCGATAGAGCTCTTGAAGGTTGTAGTAAACGCAAGGTACCTCTGAAGTGGCACCTAACAGAGAGTTATATCACCATCTACTAAGGTAGTTCCTACTCAATGTATTGGAAACCGTTCCGAAGTAAACTCTAACATTAAGATGGTGCTGCAAACTTTTACATGTATCACTTCCTACATTTTAAAAACATGTAATGCAATTTAAATAAAGAATGAGTATAAGTAGAACATAGTGCCACAACTCTCTTGCATTCAAAACTCCTTTAGATATATCTTTGTTACAAATTAGTAGAGTTCAAAATTGGGAGAGTAAGTATTAAGAAAACTGACCAACGTTAAAAATTAAAAGTATTTTTTTATCAAATATGTATGTTTTAGCTTAAAATTATTGGATACTTCAATTGTTTTTAATAATACTTTAATTAATTTAGGTAACTGAAATCACGAAACAAACAGATCATCTGATCCATGACGTTTGCCGTTTCTACTTTAGAATACTATTACTTCTGTCAAAACTAAAACTTCCTCATCACTCATTTTCCCTCTCTTATACAGTTACCCGGACAACCGTTAATTGGTTATTAAAAGATAACTTGAGAATAGATCACAGTTAAAACCACTAATACTAGAACAGACATTAATAATAAATAACTACTTAGAACAGAAAAAATAATAAACTATTGTAGTTTGCTTGTTCGTAGATAAATGAAATATGAATTTGGCTCTTTGGTTTATTTCATACTAAACTATCAACGTTTCAATAAAAACGCACCTCATTATCTTCCCTGTAGCAGCAAACCGAAGGACTAAAGTTATGTCATCTATATAGGAATTAGATATGACAATTTTAAGGGAATATTTTAGGGGAGATTTAGCCAGGGAAAATTAATTTCGCTTAGTCTGTAGGTTTTCTGCAGCGGGGGTGTGATTAAAAATAATACAGAACAGACATAGAAGAATGTAAATCCTATCACCTTTGTCGCCTACTTGAAATAATTACATCATTAATATTTCAATGTAATGTGCATTATACAGTCTAAAGTTATGATTTAAAATTAACAATGTCCACAGAATTAGCTGGTTGTCACATTATATTTGTTACAAAATGGATTTGTAATATAATTACCCTGGCTTAAAAGTCATGTTGTGTTATGACTTTGATCCCTTAATTGGACTTTAATTTCAGGAGATTGCAGGACTAGGGGGAAAACAGCTCTAATTAACTACACAAAGGGGAGGTCACAATGGCAAGGTCTGTCAGAGACCTTATTGAAGGATGTTAGTAATATCTTTACCCTAAAGGGGGTAAAGATAAGCCCTCAAACGTGTGGTGTCCTTTAAACTAACGTTATTATCAAGGATTTGGTAAAATATGTGACTGGTAATAAAAATTGCTTTGTAAAACAACTCTTATCAATAACATGTATTTTATACAGTTTAAAACATAATAGACTATATATTTTTCAATAAATATGTGTTATTTGTTTTATTGGTAACTATTTGTCCATTTAAAACTCGTTGTAATAAATCAATAGAACAATATCGTCAGAGAGGTAAGAATGAAGTTGTACGTTAAGCAATACTATTTCCATCAATCAATACATCCAATAGTAAACAAAAGATAAAGCTGTATTGTTTTACTGAGCTCATTCAATATTTTCAATCGATTATAAGATAAGGGTGCGACCTGTTCAAGACAAAATTCCAAGTTAGACTTATTCAGATTGAAAAAGTTTCAAGAAAACTAGTTGGGAAGTTTATTGACATCTTCGACATGACTTGGGAAGCTAATGGCTTATTTCTAAGATAAAAGCAAGGCATTGATCACGAACTTCCTTTAATGTCCTTTCACGAATGTCCTTTAAACGGGTTTTATATGTTGTTATTTTTTTTAGATGATTAACAAGATTT